TCTCGTACGGTTGCATCACATTAATTGCGTTAGCCACATAAGAGTCATTTGTCGCGACTCGTGGCTGTGCTGTGTTAATTGGCCTCCCTTTGAGTAGTCGACGCCGGTCCCGGCCCCGAAAGATCCCAGCAATGGGACCAGGGCGCCAGGAGAGTCGGCAGGCTCAGGATGTCTTGTAATACCGTCAATTCCGTTTGTCGCCGCAACGATGTTCAGCCGTCCGAAGACGTTTCCGGAGCACCTCTTGTAGGTAATCGCGACTTGGAGATGAGAGGCTGTATATTGCGTATCATCATCCCTGCTATGACTCTTTAGCTGTTTGTATGCTCAAGCGTTCGGAGGTTGTGGCCTCGGTCTGCTCCTAGCTCCTAGCCGCATGTGTGTTCGAGCGATCGGAGGCTGTTGCCGCGGTCTGCTCCTAGCTTTCACATGCTCGAACGATTGGAGACCGTAGCCTCGGTCTGTTCCTAGCTCCTAGCCGCATGTGTGTTCGAGCGATCGGGGGCAGTTGGCCTCGATCAACTTCTAGCATAGGGAGTGCTGCGTTGCTCGAGCGATCAGAGGTTCTACCCTCGATTTACTCCTAGCAACGCAGGAGAGTCATAGTCGCTCCCAGTAGATAGGGACATTGAATGTGACGCCTGGAGAGAGGAACTCCCCCCAGTTGCTGTACCTCGGGAGCATATCCCATACCAGCTTAGGCGGCCATCCACCATCCATCTCCACCCCCACAAGAGGAACCGACCCGGAAAAATTCCCGCCCTATCGAAACAATTCCGAGTCCGGGCGGAAGGACCTTACCCTGTTCTTATAGGGAGTGACTCACTTAGCCGTCTCCTCACACGGAATGCCCGAATGGACACTCCGTGCGAGTAACCGTTGCCCAGCGGGGGCCTCGTGGAGCCGGAGTCACCGGCTTGAAAGCTCAGGTCCCAAAGTACCATCACCAATATTCCAATCACCAACATAAATCTATAAAAATTACTAAACACATATATACAGGGTGGGGAAAAAGTATGGAAGCAAACAATTATTTCCGAAACTATTCATTTTTCGACAAAATGTCTTAGACATAATTTTTATGGTATGAA